GTCTATGCTCCTCCACCAGCCCGAGATACGGCTGGTGCTATAGGGAATGTGCCGACCTGAGCAACACTCTCCATAAGGCCCACTAGACGGACCAAAGCATCCTGAATTACCGGGGTAGCGATGAACCCCTCTGGAACCTAAGCTGGCCCTATTGGGACGGTCTGGGCGGGAGCCTCCTCATCAAACTCTACCTAAGGCTCCGCCGCTGGTGCTGCTACTCGAGCTCTGGGCCGAGCCCTGCCCCTGCCTCGGCCTCTAACACGGCGTCGGCCTCGTCCTCTAAACCACGTAGGAGCTTCCACTGGGAGCTCTGGCTGTTGCTCAGCTGAAGAAGCGGTACGTGTTCTCGCCATCTGCGAAGGAACAAGAGTAGAGAGTTCAATTAGCATTGAGAGATCAAATCGCACGACAGAGAAGAATAGAAGTGAAATTGTTCGTAAACTCTGTAGCCTCTGGGGATAAGCACAGACGTCTCCATACCGATCCCTCAGACTCTACCTAGCTTCTTCGTGAACTATGAGTCCTAGGCAACCTAGTGCTCTGAGACCAACTTGTCACAACCTGGAATTCCCACCCTCAGGACCGTGATGGCGCCTAACATCACACTTGCTTGGCAAGACAACGTTAGAGTTTTATTAACCTCTTTCCATTACATTTTGTAGATTAAAATTAACAAACTAAATCAAGTAGAATCAAATATAGAAGTACATAAATAACCTTTTGTCTATATACTATTAACAGTACCATAGCTATTACCACTACCTGGAATGTGGTGTCACAATCCACGAATTTACTATGAATATCTACAAACATTGCTCTGAAAGAAATTACATCTTTTTCGAAAGAAAAGAAAAAAGGAATGCAGAAACATAGGAGGGGATGCTAGGGCCTGCGGACACCAGTAGGACTACCTTGGGTCTCCTAGATGAAATGTCTGCAACCGACCTCTCGATCAGCCACCACCAGCTCCAAAATCTGCACAAAAAGTGCAAAGTGCAGTATCAGTACAACCGACCCCTTGTACTAGTAAGTGCCGAGCCTAACCTTGACGAGGTAGTGATGAGGCTACGGCGGGGCAGTTACAATATAAACTACATACAGTATATAATAAAACAGAAAGAAGAATGGAGCAGATAAAATAGTAACTTGCAAAGAAATAATTCAGAACTCCGGTATCTCTCATCTATAACCAATCCTTAAGTGTAAAGCCAAACTACAGAATAACTTGCATAGTAGAAGAATACATAAACACATTAACTGATACGGCGCGCATCCCGATCCCACCATATAATCAATATCAATATTGATATTCACCCTTATTACTCCATATCATTCCACCCTTATTCCTCCTATTGCGGCGTGCAACCCGGTCCCACCGTACAATTGTAATTCACCCTTATTTCTCCTGAACATACCACCCTTATTACTCCTGTTGCGGTGTGCAACCCCATCCCACCAAATAATAGTATTTCATCCTTATTCCTCCTCGATATATCACCCTTATTCCTCCTGTTGTGGCGCGCAACCCGATCTCACCATATCAGTACCAATCACACAATAAGATTAGAAATTTCACAATTTAGCTCAGAACTATCCACAATGTTTAAGCCTCAAACCAAACCAAACAGAAAGCTACACAATTATGAAACTTCACTTAATTAATACTACACAGCGAGACCAACCCAAAATGCACCGTGAAACACCGATAAACCAACTTAAATCAATAATGTGATACAATGAAACTACGGGATAGATAATACCTTCAATACAGAAAAACAACATCTAACAAGTAGCAATTAAGCATGGAAACACCAATAAGCATGTAATAGTTAAGACAGGAAGACAATATATTAAGAACGTGGAAAGAAACAGGCAAAACAGATAGTTTGACGGCGTATAGGTACTCGTCACCTCAATTACCATTTTTCCTCGTGTTTCCACCTCCGAACCAATAGAATCTAGCAAATTACCAACCAAACAATTCAATTTAAGCCTTAGAAACTACACATGACAACAAGGAATTCAATTTAGGCCATTTTGAAAAAGTCAACACCCGAGCCCGCTTGGTCCAAACCCGAAATTCGGACCAAAACCCGATTGAACCTCAATTTCAGGTCTGAATCCCCAAATTTTGAGATCCCTAACTTCTACCAAAAAATCCCCAATTACACTATGAAAATATTTGATTCTAGGTTCAAATCTTGTAAAATAAAGTGAAAGATTGAAAGAAATGAGTTAAGAATCACTTACCTATGATTTGGGGAAGAAATGGCCTTGAAGAAATCACCTCTACGATTCTTGGGTTTGATATTTGAAAGAATGGGAGAAAAATCCCGTCCAAGTCCCTTTTACATAGTTGCAGATGTCGTATTTGCGACCTGAGCTTCGCAATTGCGAAGCTCGCAAATGCGAAGGGACCATCTCAAATGCGAGGTCCTTCCCATTTCTGCCGCCATCACAATTGTGAAGGTAAGATCGCAATTGCGAACTGGTACCTCCGCAAATGCGACTAAATGATTGCATTTGATTTAGTCGCATTTGCGATCAATGCCCCTTCCAGCTTTACTCTTCGCATTTGCGATGAGTAGCTCGCAATTGCAACACTGTCAGGCTTCGCAAATGCAAAGTTTGGTCTCGCAATTGCGAGATCATAGGCCAACACAAGAACTGGAATACCAGCAATATTTTCCAAGTCCAAATCACTCTGAAGCCTATCCAAAACTCACCCGAGCCCTCGGGGCTCCAAATCAAACATGCGCACAAGTCTAAAAACATCATAAGAACTTGCTCGTGCGATCAAATCGCCAAAATAACATCTAGAACTCCGAATTTAACACCAAAACACATGAAATTCTTAAGAACACTTGAAATTCCTCTTTTCTCAACCGGATGCCTGAATCACGTCAAATCAACTCCGATTTCACTAAATTTCACAGAGATGACTTAAATATTATTTTAAACCTGTACCGGGCTCCGAAACCAAGATACCGGCCCGATACCAATGAGATCAATCATTAATCAAATTCTTTATATCATTAGATTTTAAGACTAATAATTTTTAACAAAAATTCATTACTCGGGCTAGGGACCTCCGAATCCAATTCCGGGCATACACCCAGGTCCCATATTTTACTACGGACCCATCGGGACCGTCAAAACATGGGTCAGGGTCCATTTACCCAAAATATTGACCGAAGTGAACTAAAATCATATTTAATGGAAAAAATTATTATTTTCTCAAATTTCAACATAAAGACTTTTCGGAAATGCCCGGACTGCATGCAAATCAAGGTGGAATAAAATGAGGTTTTTGAAGGCCTCGAAACACGGAATCGAGTTCTAAAATATAAGATGACCCTTTGTGTCATCACATACTTGTACCCATATTCGAGTGTGCTTAATTTCTTAATTGTTTTAGGGATAATTCAATTAGGAAGTCTTGTTAGTCTTCGAAGAAGCTAAGAAAGAATTATTACCCGATGCTAATTAACATAAACTCGCTCATATTTATAAAATCGTGAAATACATTGGATCGTTACTTGAGTGTAATTCCCCATGCATCCATGCTTGTAGCCATCGATTAATTTACTTGCTTTCTAGGGTAGTTTACATTTTTGCATTTAGACATAAATATTTTCTCAAAATATTTTTAAGTGTTTAGTTTAGCATAATAAGTGATAATTCTATTACATGCCTAATTGCCTATATACTATTCTCTATGGGATTCACCACCGACTCATAATTGGGTATATTATATTGCATACGACTGTGTCCATTTACTTTTTAGTAGTGGATTTGGACATCATCACTCATGTAGCTATTTCGGAAAAAATAATTTTCAAAAATAAATGTAAGGCTGACGCGATAATATAACAAAAGATTGTGAATGAAATTAATGTGGAAACGAGGCGGCACTTCAATTGTGATTCTTGTTGCACCGCTCATGTTAAAAAGCTTGTTTGTTGAGTACTTCTTGTTATTTCTTCATTGTTGCGCTTGTAATTATCCTTACTTGTCTACTTGTTGTTTTCCTCATGTGTTCACTCTTTTATGCTTTTACCGTTCATATTTCCGTGGTTAGTCTGCGTTGTTGAACTGCTTACTTGTCATTTACTTTCTCGCCTTCATTATTAGATCATGATATACACTGTTTAATTTATTTTATCCTAGTAGGTGTCTTGACCTGGCCACCTCACTACTCTACCGAATTAGGCTTCATATTTAATGGGTACCGTTGTGGTGTAATCATCATACGCTTCTGCATATTTTTGTGCAGATCCAGGTACATCTGCCCGTGTCGGACGCTAGTGATTGCTTGCTACTTTTGAAGACTTCAAAGTATACCTGCTCGACATCCGCAGGACTCAGATTCATCTTTTGCTATCTCTTATTACTATTTATCTTTTATTTAGATAGTAATGTATGTTGAGATTCTAGTATTTTCTGTAGAACTTATGGCTTAGTCTCACCGGGTTTTGGGGAAATGTTGCATTGTGGTTCAATATTGAGATCTTCCTGAGGCTTATTAGTTTATATTAGTTTTCAGTCATTATTTTTATCATATTCTCTTGTTTGTTAAACTTACCTAGACTTAGAGACTAGGTGCCATCACGACATCCTAAGTCGGGGAATTGGGGTCGTGACATTAAGCAAGTTGAAACTATAAAGTTATTAATAAAGTTTAAGTAATTACATTATTTATGTCGTTGCAGAACACACGAAGCATTCATCTTTCTTTTAATGGACAACTATAAATAAATAAATCATAAAACTATTCATTTCACGTATCAAATAGTTGTATTGTGTTTTGGTTAAGGACTTGAATTTTGTTTCTCTTAAACTTATTACTTGCTTTCCGAATTATTTTACAAAAACATACCCGATAAATATATTTCAAGCATACGTTATTAGAAAAGAAATATTGTCGTTGAGAAACGAGACATAAAATATTTCAAAGAAATAATAAATTTAAAAATTAAAATATTATACACAAGCTATAAGTCTGTAAATATAATTTGTAAATATTAAATAACCGTACATATAATCTAGCCAAGACAACATGAGATTTGAATTTCTCTTTATTCCTGAATTGAATGTCATCACTTGACATTTGAATTTATCTTTATTCCTGAATTGAATGTCATCACTTGACATTCTTCATTATTCGTACAACACATAATAGCGGAAAGGGGAAAAGACGAAGGAAACATAGAAATTATAGTATATCATAAATGTGTTACATGATTTTGGAGCAGATTGTTGCGATCGGACAATAGTGTTCTCTCTATACTCCAACTCTAGGACCACATTGGAACGTATTGAATGTCATGTAGTTACAATGGCAGCAAAGTATGCAGTCACTGCAGTCACTATCGGATGTGCAAGATCTAAGACAAGTATTAAGTTGCGGGAGTAATCTCCTTTCCATTGGAGAGACATCATAATCAATGTCCCGTGCAGCCATTACTTGCATCTTGGAGAACCACAGCAAATTAACTGAAACATATCCCCATTGTAGTTATTAGAATTCAATTCATAAACAAAGACACATACGTACATACAAACATTATGAAAATTATACTAAAGTAGAATTAAAGCTGGAGATAAAGAGAGACAACTTGATGCTTTATGAAACTTTTGTGTGAGTATATTCTTTCTTTGCGAATGGTGTAATTTATAGACCTTCCCTGTAATGTATTGGCATGTACAATGGTTAGTAATAGTTCTATAATAGTTTTCTTGTATTTTTAATACTTTATAAAAAATTATTTATATTGAGTCTTTCTAGAGATAGATGTTGTAATGAAATCTGTCATATTCTGTCAGTTCTCTCTCCATTTTATAAAAAAATATAATAAGACTTAATTCATAGAGTAGGTTTTGGAACACAATGCTCATAAAATACTCATAAAATACAACCATATGTGATATAAGATCCATTATGTTTGGAAGATGCATGTGAGCAATAGAGAAGATTAGATCCATAATAATATTCTATATAAATCGGTAACTGGAATATGTAGTTAAACTAATCATAGTATACTTTATTAAAAAGGTCATGTACATAGTTTCCTTTTAATGCACACATTCGCATATTATTTGAATTCAGTATTGGCCTTTTCCATCAGCATTTTTTATTTAATTTTAAATAATGTCTCATTACAATCGCTATGATTATTCGGCAATACATATTTTATATACTGCACATTAATAGTTTAGTTTTTCGTTTGAAACTTTAGTTATACCAAAGCGTTAAAATCGTAAACTAAACATAAATTTTTAATTTTTAAAAATGATTTATATTCAAAATTGTCATTGTAAAATTTGTTTGGTCTAAAAATTTGAACAAAAGGTAATCAATCATCCGACTTCGAGCCTTGAAATTATGGGGGAAAAGAAAAGGAAAACTTTTGTCTGTATATATTTATATATAAATATAGACTAGCACAATAACATTTTTTATTATTATATTATCTGGCTTTCACATCGAATGACAAATATAAACCTTTATTAAAAAAGTCATGTACATAGTTTCCTTTAAATGCACACATTAACATATTATTTGAATTGAGTATTGGCCTTTTTTCACTAGCATTTTTTATTTAATTTTAAATAATATGTCTCATTACAATCGCTAAGATTATTCGGCAATATATATTTTATATACCGCACATTAATAGTTTAGTTTTTTGTTTGAAGCTCTAGCTATATCAAAGCGTTAAAACAGCAAACATAAATTTTAAAATTTATAAAATGATTTAAATTCAAATTGTCATTGTAAAATTTGTTTAGTCTAAAAACTTGAATAAAAGGTAATCAATCATCCGACTTCGAGCCTAGAAATTATGGGGGAAAGGAAAAGGAAAGATCTTCTCTGTATATATATAGGGATCTCTCAACAACAGAATTATTTTATTATTATATTATTTGGATTTCACAACGAATGACAGTTATATACCAATATACATTTGGAACTTAAATATTCTTTGGTTGTTATAGGCAATAATTATTCAAAATTCAATTATTTTTTCTTTTTTAATGTTCCAATAAAATATTAAAATTTTTTATTCAAAGTTAAAAATCTCAATAGATATGCATATTCCACTAATTAAATATTGAAGAAAACTAATACATTATCTATAAATTCATAAATAAACGTACAGAGATTTAAACTTCAAGTCACACATTCTAAAGCTACTAGTAAACCAATTTTATTTCTGATTGATGGAAGAACTATGTAATTGTAGCTTGTTTCTTAGATTTTGTTTTGCTACTAGTGATATAATTCTTGAATTGATAAAGATTTGTGTCTAAATTTAAGTAGAAGGCTATCCAACAGTTTTCACTTGAAGGCAATCAAAGGGCTTAACAGTTGAATCTTATATCCCAATATTTGTTGCCATTCGTCCAGTTAAAAGGATATCATGTGCAAATCTTCAGATCTTATGAATTATACAAAATGAAAACTTTGTTCAATGGAAAAGATTGTGTGCAGACTTTTGAAATTATTATTCGTAGTATTAAAGATTCTATAAGGCTGTTAGAGAGAAATAGTTTTACAAAGAGCGTTCTGCTATAAATACAGATGTTTCTATTATCGGTAAAAAGCTATTATAGAGTTTGAAAAACATAACTTGAAAATCGATTCCGAATAACCTAGCTTTAATAGCAAATGATTGTTATATAGTGATGTTGTTATAGAGAGGTTGACTATAATATGCATATATTACAAATAGGGCTTGGGAACTATACAAATGCAACTTGATTCTAATTTACAAGAAATAGAAAAGAAAAAAAAAACAAAAAAGATACATTTACAAAAGAAATTACAATGATACTTAGGAGGCCAAAAGTATTTTTTTTGGTAAAAAAGGCAGTTTTTGAAAAATTTAAGGTGTTTGGCCAAAATGAAAAAGTACTTTTGAGTAGCAGCAGAAGCTGTTTTTCTGCTTCTGGGGAGAAGCTAAAAATTCTAGCTTCTTCCAAAAAGCAGAAGCAGAAGCAGAAAGTTAATTTATTCAAGACAAAAATAGCCTTACAATAAATTTATATTTTTTAAATTATCCCTCATTAATTTAATTTTTCTTTTCCGTTTCCTTTTTCTTTTCCATTTTTTTCTACTATACATTTATTCTCTTTTTTTATTTTAATTACATTTTTATTCTCTTTCTCCTATTCCTAAGTGCAGATTTTAAATTTATATTGAATGATGTATTTTGACATATTCAAATCATATAAATAATATGTAATACTAAACACTCAGTATTATTGTTTTGGAATAACTATATTACATTAATGCGAAATTTAAATTTATATTTTTAATTTACATTTTATATTTTAATGGAATTATTTTCAAAAAAAATGTTTAAATTTATTTTTCTTTTCTAAATAATACTAATATCAAATTGAACCTTTAGGCCTCATTTATTTTTTTTAAGATTAAGACGTCTGAGTCTGAATACACATCTGAATATTAAGATGTGTATTAAGATTAAGACATCTGAATCTGAATACATATCTGAATATATTAAGATGTGTATTAAGATCATAATAGAAATAACTAAGACTGTTTGATTTTTAACATCTGAATGTATAAAATTTATCTTTATTTGAAATTAATAAACATAAAATTCAAATGAAATACTAACTAATCTAATATTCTATCAATAAAATATATTGTGTTTTTAAAATATGATAGTTGTTGGTGGTGACGGCTAACGGGTGAATGCCGACTAAAGGCGATGGTTGGTGATAGTTTTGGTTGATGATGGTGGTTCATGCTAGTAGCTAGTGGTGATTGGTAGTGGTGGGGATTATGATTGAGGATGGTGGTGGTGGGTGGTGATAGTTAATAATGGTGGGTGGTGGTAGTAGTTGTGGCTGAGAAAGGTGGTGGGTGGGTGGTGGTAGGTTATAATGATGGGCAGTGGCGGTTGTGGTTGTTGATGGTGATGGGGTGGTCGGTTGTGGCAGTTGAGGTGGATAAGTGTTTGTGGGTGAGAATGATATATGGTGGTCGGAGTGGTGGGGATAGTGGGTTGTGATGGTCGATAATGGTGGCGGCTATGATTGAGGATGATGGTGGCGTGGTGGTGGTGGAGGTGGTGGGAGTGGTGGTTGAGTATGGTGATGGTGGTGACATAGTAGTAGTTGATAATGGAAGGCGGTGACGGCAGTTAATAATGAATATGTGATAGCATCTTAATGAAATTAAGTCTCTGTTATAGATCTTAATCATACAGACCTATTCAGACTCATTATGTGATTGTGAAGTAAAAAAAAACAAACACACTTAATGATTAAGATCTGAATAATTAAGATTCAGACTTCAAAAACAAACGCAGTTAATGTCTGAGATCTGAATAATTACGATTCAGACTCTTATTAAGTGCAAACAAATGAGGCTTTACTGTCCTTTTTCGTAATTTGATGCTTAAAAGTGCTTTTTTAAAAGATTGGCCAAAAACAATGAACTTGCAAGAAGCACTACTCAAAGGAATCGAGCAAACACAAACTACTTATTTTGCAAACGTACTTTTTCATAAAGTACTTCTGAATAAAAGCGCTTTTCAAAATAAGTAGTTTTCGGCAGCTTGGCCAAACGGGCACATACACCGATGCATTTACTTATCAAACGCAATACTATGGTACTTTAATCGGGTTAACGTGAATAGAAGTTCATGTCATGGTTGGATATTATTTTGTGATCATGACATTAATTATGAAGCTATGTTACGCATTTTAAGTAATCTTGTTATTTAAGTTTGGCAGTAAGTGATGCTAATTAGCTCAATACATTAATAGCAATGCGAACAATATTTAATTTCATGGCACGTATTCTTGACATCCCCCCAGTTAAGCAATAAATTATGGATCTGAAGAATCTTTTCTATATAATATGCTAAAAAAAGGTCCTGCTAAACTGAACACACTGAAATAAAGAAAGTTATAGCAAGTCGGATGTTAAAAACCTTTACTATGTGTCTCAATTTTATTTAAGAATTTTCTTTGCCTATCAATTACAATTTTATTCACTACTATTCATTGTTAATGAATAAATTCACAGTGAGGAATTCTCTCTCTTAGCTTCTCTCTAAGATGAACTCCCAACCCTTTGAAAACCAAAACACTATCCCTCCAAAACCACCTGACATAGTCCATCTCAACCCATTGCAAAATAATTTGGAAAAGTTAATATCCTTTAAGGACAAATAGTTGGAATCAAACCCAATGGATTTTGCTCCTACAATAGAACAAGAGGATATGCTCTACACAACAAACTCAATGGAAGAAAAGGAGCTTGTGCATGATCCAGAAGATAACTCAGGAGGAGTTATAAAATTTCACTTTCAACGGAGGATAGACAACGCATCTATGAACCATGAAAATATTCTATCATAATCAAACTAGTACGAAAACGTATGCTACATCATTATTTAAAGAGGAAAATTCAATATCTATGGAATGCAACGGAAGATTTCTCAGTAATTGATCTTGGAGAAGACTATTATATCATCAAATTCAAAAAGAAGGAAAATATAGATAAAGCTAGCCACCTAGGTCCATGGTTCATAAATGGTCATTTCTTGTCCATCTCCGGATGGAAACCTAACTTTGTGGCGAAAAATGAAAAATTAACTACCTCCGCTATATGGATTAGGCTTCCTCAGTTGCCAACAGAATTTTACGATGGTAAAATCTTAGAAAAAATTGGAAATGCAATTGGATGCCTA